CAGAGAGACGACTGAGAGCGTGCTTGGAGATTCACGGGAAACTGCGCACCAGGCCCAAGGTGAGAAGCCGCCGCCCAGGCCTGACTCGTCTCAACTCCCGAGCTCCCTCCCCGTTCCAGGCTCCTCCGTTTCCACCTGTACAACCGTTACCTCCACAGGCCCTCCCGGCATGGACACCGCAGGATTCTTTCATTGGAAGATGATCAAAGGGTGTTGGGAGAGGGGTTCCCAGGGCTGTGCCACCCCGGTCACAGCTGGGCCATCCCAGAGGTTTCCATGGAAATGACAACTTGTGAGGGAGGGGACAGATGCCCTGGACTCAGATCGGGCCTTGGAGAAGGACGGACGTCTGTGGCCAAAGCTGGGAGGGCTGACGGGGAGAGCGGAGAGACTAAGAGGCTGCACGTGCTCACCATTGGGAGGATGCAGCCAAACTCTTGCTTGTTGATGCCAACGATGTAGGGGACGGTGTTGAAACTCTTCTCGGCCAGAATCTCTTCGGGGGTTTTGGGCAGCAGCACGCCATCCACCACCGTGGGCACAAAGGGGTGACTCTGGGGAAGAGAGCAGGGCAGCGTCTGAGCCTCCACCTCCCCCTTCCCAGGCAACACCCCCGTGCCTGCTCTGCCTGTCTGAGGGTGAGGGCACCACATTGACCTGTGGCCCCAGGCAGTGGCCACAGAAGCTCCTAACAAAGCGGGCAAAGTGTGTGTGATCCCAGAGGGCAGAACTTCAACCAGGGGCTGGCAGTGGGAAAGTGGCAAATCTTGACTCAAGTCAAAACGCATGTGTTATACAATATGTATCAGTGTTATATATTTCAGTCTGAAGCATGTATGTGTTCTGTAAATCTGTCTGCGGGAGACCCTGGTCATTCACGGCAGCCGGGTGGTGTCACGCAGAGCTGCGCTGAGTGCCAGATGCGCGAACGCTGAGTCGCCGCCGGAAGGGGGAACGCAGGGCAGGTCCTGGGAGCCTCTGCTTACAGTATCTTCATTAACTTTATTTTGTGCGTGAGTTTCTGTTTAAAGCCATTTTATGTAACAGATATTTCTTTAAAGAATTGTTCTATGGAGTATTTATTTGTAATAAACACCACCCAGGAAGGCCTTCATTTTCCTGGCCCTGAGTAACATCACTGGAAATATTTTTTGCTTTCATCCCACAGCGGCGCCGTCCGCTGTGCTTTCTACAAAATCCTTCATCGTGTCATGAGTCCGCAAATGTGGCTGCTTTTCCATCCTTACCGCAGCCCATCACACACCGCAGATTCTCCACAGTCCACACTGGCCTCGGGTGTCGTGGGGCAGCTTCCTCCCCTCCTTCCGGGGGTGCCGTCCTGTTAATTCCCCGACTCTGAGCTCACAGCCACAGCGCTACGGTCCAGTGTGCAACCAAGCTCGTCTGCTGCGTGTATTTTCCCCGTCACACGCATCACAGCGTCCCTGAGCTTAGGAACACGAGGCAGCGCTGCAGCACTACTCTTGGGGACGTTTGAAACAGCGCGATCTCTAACTAACA